CTGAGTAGGGCCACATTCCCTTTGAAGGCTGTAGGGGAGAGTCAGTTCTTTGTTTCTTCTTGGAATTCCTTGGCTTGTGGTAAGTATGTCACTCCAACTGCCTCTATAGTGTTACATTGTCTCCTTTTTTTCTTATGTGTTAAAACCATACTTAAAAGAATATTTGTAGTTGGATTTAGGGATCACCCAGATAACCCAGGAGCTTTTCTCAAAATCCTTAACTGAGTCAAATTTTTTGTTAAATAAGGTGTGTGTGTGTGTGTGTGTGTGTGTGTGTGTGTGTGTATTTCAATTTTTATGTTAAATAAGGTGTGTGTGTGTGTGTGTGTGTGTGTATTCGAACATATAAGGTCATATTTGCAGGTTCCAGGGATTAGCATGTATGTATATTTTGAGGGTCCATCATTCAGTTTACTATAAAAGCCAAAATATCAGGATCTTTTTTTGGGAAATACAGTCAACTGGATTTGGTTAGTGATGGACCACATGTACCATGTTGGTTCCAGAAGATTACAATGGAGTTAAAAATTCCTGTTACCTAACTAAGTCCTTGCCACAGGCCAGCATATTGGTCATGTGTCTGTGATGATGCTGGAATAAATCTGTGCTGTCAGCCATACAAAAAGTATAGCACATACAACTATTTATAGTATGATACTTAACAATAAATGATGTATTAGTTTATTTACTGTACTATAATTTTTAATCACTATTTTAGAATTACCTCCTCCTACTTAATTGAAATAAAGTATCTACTGTAAAATATCATATACTGTGTATGGCCAGCAGCAGCCTCATGAATCTCTTGTTTTTTGCCTTATCTGTTAATTGCATTATTTCTTCTTAGGCTTGATTCAGTCTTGTGTTGCTTTGTTCATCATGGCTCTAGGAGTGAAAGGTCATACATACACACACACACACTGTAGCCTAGGTAGTATAGTAAGCTAAATATCTAAGATTATATAAGTAAACTCTATGAAGTTTGTACAATGAGAAAATCACGTAAGGATGTGTTTCTCAGAATGTATCTCTGTCATTAAACAAAGCACAACTATGTAAGTATTTTGGTATTACATGTATTTCAAAATAGATATAACCGCCCGGCAAAGAGGATGAAAAAGAAGTACCCATTAAAGTAGATAGAAAAAGTTGAGAAGAGGTTGTATTGGACACTTTGTCCAGTTGTGACTGCAGTGCTTACTGAAGGTTAATCATGACAATGCATGCAAATTTTAGCTGTACACTGGTGAGTGTCCATAGAACAATCTCTTGAGAATAGTTAGTATCACATGAATCCTTTTTTAAATGACTTTCTATTATAATCAAGCTATCTTAAATTGAAACCTATAAGTCATAAATATGAAAGTATAGTAAAAATTAATTACTTCATCCAATATGAATTTAGGTGAAAATTCTGTTTGAAAGTAAAATTGTGGCTGACTTTTAACAGTTCATCTAAAGAGAATTGGTTGCAAGGGAGGTACCTTTGTTTTGGGCACTTAGCTTCATAAAAGCCAGAACTTTTTGTCCATATTTTTAGAATAGTCTGAGAACATGTTTCTTAGCTCAACATTGACTACTTCAGCTACTGAGCCAGTGATGAAAAAGTGTTTAGTTCCTTTTCCTTGACCAACTGGTCAAAACCCAGTTAGGATCTCTAGCCTGCCAGAACAATTCTTCCCCCTTACTTAATCCTTAGTATACACAGTGTCTTGCCTGGATATTGTGAAAAGCAATAATTTTTTATACTCTTTCAGGCTAGTGATCTTGTCCTCCATAAAGTGACAAGAAAGCTTGCTTATTTTGTTATTATTTTTAATTCCCATCTGTTGAGTCTGTGTCCCTCTGTCAGGCCCATTCCTTTATAAATTAAACAACCTCTTCATTCCATTTTTGGAACTAGATACTGAATATTTAATTAGGGCAACATACCATACTATTATGTGAACTTTTTTGCAGCATTTTATTGGGAACATATAAGAGAGATTCTTAGGAACTACTTAGCACCCTTCTCTAACATTTAGGGGACACCTGAAATCTGGTGAAATACTGGAGTAAGTCCCATGAAGTTAGAGACCTCATCCTTTTTTTGGCAGAGGTTGGGAGGGGGTCACATCTCAAGCACCTCGACAAATTACCAAATAAATGAATATATGCTTTAAGCACCTTCTAAATCAATTCATATTGTAGATGAACAATGATAAGAAAACAAAACAAAAAAGGAATCTCTATTGAAAGTTTGAGATCCACTTTTAGCTTAGTATGATAACTGTTAATTGAGTCAACTCAAAATCATTTTAAAAACTTAGAAATAATGCTTTTTTTCCTTTTAGCAAGAAGGGAAATTTTCAATTTTTCTTCTGTGTGAATGAATATCTCACTGTATATAATGTACTATTATGTTTAAGGGATGCATAATTTATTTTAAAAGAACTTTTTGGCAACCAGAAGTCCTGTTATAGACCACATAAAGTATTTTAAATTTCTAAAATTTGATTTAAAAGATTCATTTATATGGTGATTTTTTTTTTTTTGTTTCTGACATCTGAAGGTGTAAATACTTTATGGCTAAAAGGAAAGTAGGCTTAGAAATAAAAATCTGATTTTTATTTCTTTTTAATGTCACATTTCCTGAATAGGTGTATTTTGTTCTGTTCAAAATAAAAAGAAATTATGTTATCATGTTTTTTTCAATTTTTTCAAATGATAGTTTCATTTTACCTTTGATATAATTATTAAACTATTGTTATTTAGCTCAACAGACTTATATATTGTATCAATATAAATCTACATTACTATTTTCAACATTTGAAGTCTGCTCTTGTATCATTCATTGGAGAATTAAGGTCTAGTGATTTTAAATTTTATATAGGAATACATAAGTAAAAACAGAAAAGTAAAATAACAAGGATAAATAAGAGGAACTATTTCATTGTTAAAATGGGAACTGTGAATTTAATTCTTTTGCTTTTGTGAATTTAGTTTAAGAGACTGTCAACATTAGTACCATATTTTTTTTTCAGTAAAATGATGGAAGGGCATTAGTTTTCTTTTGTCTTTTTTTCTTTTATGCACTTAAATATTTGTGAGAAAGATGCCCCTATATTTCCTCCGTTTATTTAATGAATTGTTATTGCACCTCAGTGAAGAGTGATACGAGACTAAACACTTCAGAGTATATTACACAAGGGGAAAAAAACTGACATTATTTGCTACAATAATGAAAATTGAGCTTTTAAAGAAATAATAAAATTTTGGAAAATGTTTGTACCACTCTGAGACTAGTAGGATGACGTGGTGGTCTTGATAAAAAATGTAAATGTGAAATTTGTCGACATTTAGATATTCATAAGTCAGTAAACAAGTGTTTTCTGTAGGACCAGTGTATAATGTTCCAAATAACATGCACAGTGTAAAAGATTCATTCAAAGTCTAATGTAGATGAACATTTTTTCACAAAATGTACAGAAAGTTTATTGATAAGGTTTCAAATTCCATAATGCAACTAACCTTTTAGAATCTACTCCTTGTTGAAATCTGGTATAGTATCAAAGAATATATCCATAACTATTTGAATAGTCAGTCTTCTCCTTTCCAACTGTATATCTGTTTGAGCCAGATTTTTCCGCTGTATTTCAATTAAAACAACATAGTGGAGCAAAGTGAATGCAGTAGCAGAGGAGAAAATCTATTTCTATTAAACCAGACATTAAAGAGATTTGCATAAATGCAAAGCAGTACTGCTCTTATATTGTTTTTGAAAATAGTTAATTTTATGTAATATTGCACGTACTGGGTTTATTGTTACCTTTAAAGAAAGTAATAACAAGTTTTAAGTTTTCTTGTTTTTAATTTGTAACACGGTAAACACAAATATAACCTACATAAACTTAAAACTCTTTGGGTTCTCAGTAATATTTAAGGATGTAAAGATGTTCTGAAGTAAGTCTGACAATTGCTGATTCAGAGAAATGATTCCACATCTGAAATATATGTTGGCAAAAGATTATATTTCATGATACATGAAGTCTATATTACCTAGTTACTGATAGGATAAGGAGTCAGAGAAGTCAGATGCTAGATTTGACCTTGGGTCAAGAGAAGAAGCTGATTTGTATCAAAAACTTAACTACTTACTTTTTTTTTTTTTGTAGTTCTGTGATTCAGCATTTGAGATTAAATAACAAGTTAGAAATATCCAGTAGAGAGCTGGAGAATGAGACCAGCTAGCCATCCAGTTCTTGCGGTGTCATGGAGCACCTGTATTGCTTAGAATTAGGAAGAATCTGTTTTGTGGCTAAGTAGAGCTTATTTATAAATCTATGTATGTATATGTTTATTGGATTATGTAATGGCACTGTGCCATGTGTTCTTAACAATTATGTTTGTGTATGTGTGAGTTGGTATATGGTTTAAGTGCTACTAACTCATGCTTTTTTGTGTGTGTGCTTGATTTACAGCGCTGTGTGAAAGGTTATTTTCCTCCAAAAATAAAGTTACAGTCAAGATTTAACAATGAAAACTTAACTATTTTTTTTTTTTTTTTACAAATTATGTTATTAGTTAATGGCACATGGAAGAGAAACATCTATTTTGTATTCCTCTTATAAGTGGTTTTCATTGAAATTCATAGATACTGTGTGCCCGATTTACCAAGGCTTTTTAAACCGGCTGGTAATAAATATGCTCTCACAACCATCTGATAAAATGAAAAACTGAACAAAATGTGTACTCAGATGAATGATTCTCTGAAGGAATAATGGTGCAAATGAATTATCAAAGTGTGAAATCATGAAAAACAAAACATGTTTGGGTTTTTATTGAATGTTAATTGTAGGCTTATGTATTTTCTTTTGTAAGCTAAGTTAAAAGAAAATTGCCTAACTAAATTTTTGAAGGCCAGTGTTGTAGGACATATATTGCATCATAATTTATTTTTCGTGTAAAGGCTGCTGTTCATTTTTTTTTGCAGCATTAACATGCATGCTTTCCTTACATAGGAGAATATATAAAAAACTGGAGGCCAAGATATTTCCTTTTGAAGACAGATGGCTCATTCATAGGATATAAAGAGAAACCTCAAGATGTGGATTTACCTTATCCCCTCAACAACTTTTCAGTGGCAAGTAAGTTGATTATAATTGTTGATTCACCTTGTTTTTATTTGTAGGATTTTTAACATTTTACAATATAATAAGAAGCCTATGGGAAAGTTTGGATCCATTTTAAATAACACATTTTTAACTTTGATAGAAATTCCAATTTATCGTGATTAAGCATATAATCTTATACAGTGTCATATAGTTTAATGTTTTTCATTTTAGAATTTGCATGTGATAAATACAATTTCGAGATATGTGCCACAAGTTTCTCTTTAGAAGATGTAAAAGAATACTTTTGAACTTGGTTGTTAGATTGAACTTAGTTTGTCAGGTGTTCAAAGTTTTCTATTACAAACTTAGGTCATTTGATTGTATTGTGAGAAACAAATTATTTACATTAGAAATAATTTTCCGAGGAGATTTTATGTTCATAGTTGTTTTAACTTGTTTAGAAATTTTGTATTTGAACATGGCACAAAATAAACTGAAAAATGACAGTTATCACTGATATGTCATGACCAGGCTCTTCAGACTGTTCAGACTTGCTGATTCATCAGTGAAAGGATCTTTCTGTGTTAATTCAGAAAAAAAACATTTTAAAGTTAAACTAAAAATCAACTTTTATGAGAGCTTGCTAGACTCTGGATCATGAAAATAAATTTTTAACTGGACAGCCTCCTTAAATTTTATTTTGGTCATACGTTATCTCAGCCATACTTGAAAAACATGAGGAAAAATTGAAGCTAAAAAATTTCAGTTAAATAACAATTTTAAAAATCCAAGAAATCAATAGTTTCTGAATGTTATTAACATTCAGTTTATCATTATAAGAGACTTAGTCTTCTTTATCCTTATTTATTTCATTTTTTTAAAGGAAAAGATAAACCAAAGGGCTTGTGGAATCATTTGAATGATAAGGATACCAGCTTATAATAAAGGCCCTCTACATTTATGTCAGTAGATTTTCACATAGAGGTTTTATTTTTACAAAAATAAGACTAGTATGTATTAAAAAAAAATCTTTTTTCCCAACCAGAATGCTCATTAGATATTAATGGGTTTGTTTCAGTAGGGAATTATGTTTTAAATTCTTTTGCCAAATATATTTTGTATTGACTTAAGAACATATTTTTATTCTGAAAATCTTTTGGGTGAACATTTGCTTTAAAGACATAAAATTTATCTTTTAAACCATTAGCAATGTATGTTGTCATGTCTCACCTAAAGTAGAATAGTTTCTTAGTTTGTCCATTTTGCTAGTAATTCTATTGGTTTGTTTGAAATAATTTGGAAAAGCGCAGAATTCCTTTATCTGCTGATCAAAATGCAGCATTTTTTGACCTTATGAAATTTCACACCCCAACAAGTTTTAAAGACATACTGTATGTCACAGTCTGCCAACATCTGCTCCAACACTTCCACTGGCAGAGGCTGAAATAAATGCTGCACTCTTGGGGAAAAATTCTATTTAGTGACTGACAAGTCAACTTATCTATGAGATAAATATTAGTTGACATCTGTAATCTTTATATAAAGTAGTTGTTGATACTTGACTCAAACTAATGAATTTGTAGAATAGTTCCTTAGCTTTCAGGAATTATTAACTTGGACCTTACAATAAATGAATTATTTTAAATTTGTACAACAACTTTGCCTTATCTCTTAATTGCATTATTTCTTCTGATACCTATGGGTATGACCTTAGACCTTAGGTCATTCTCTGAAACTCTCATCTTTGGCATAGTGGAAACAATCTGAGTTCAATGGATTTATAAGGACCTTTTGATCCTTTACAGTTCATGATTCTATAGGGAGGCTTTGAACAGGTCCCTGAAGATTTTATAGAAGTTATGCAGATTATTTATAGAAGAATATTCCAGGCAGAGGTGACAAACAATGTTTTTATGAAGCATTAAAAGAAGGCATAGTTGGAACATGAAAAGTTTCTTTCACCAATAGTCTCCTTTTCTCCCTATTTCCCTTTCACTCTTGCACCCTTTAATATATATATATTTTTTTTAAAAAAAAGATACCCTGGAAAGCAGTATGGAGATTCCTTAGAAAACTTGGAATGGAACTGCCATTTGACCCAGTTATCCCACTCCTCGGTTTATAACCAAAGGACTTAATATTGGCATACTGTAGTGAAGCAACCACTTCAATGTTTATAGCAGCTCAGTTCACAATAGCCAAGCTATGAAACCATCCTAGTTGCTCTAAAACAGATGAATGGATAAAGAAAACGTAGAATATATGCAAAATGGAATGTTACTCAGCCATAAAGAAGAATGAAATTATGGCATTTGCTGGTAAATGGATAGAACTGGAGAGTATCATGCTAAGTGATATGCTAAGCTAGTCCCAAAAAACCAAAGGCAGAATGTTCTCTCTGATATGTGGATGTTAACCCACAACAGGGTAATGAAGAAAAGGGGGAGGAATAGGAATAGAAAAGATAGTAGAATTAATCAGACCTATCTTTCCTATCCTTATGAATGAATACATGACCAGTATAACTCCACATCATACATAACTACGATGATGGGATCCTAATTGGAACAAATTATACTTGTTTGATATGTCAGAATACACTCTCCTTTCATGTATATCTAGAAAGAACAAGTTAAAAAAGGATACTTTTACAAAAGTATTTGTAAGGTGTTTTGGAAAGTGTTATGTCCCCATGATAGCTATAATCTGAGTCCCCTATTTTTCTTATAATTAAAAGCCTACTTCACATTTATGTGGGTTTTAATAAAATCTTACTAAACTAGGCATTTTATCCATATGAATAAAGTGAAGCATGAGAAGTGGAAGGCATTTTAGTTTTTCTTTATAAATTAAATTTTTAATTCCTTCCCATCTGATTAAAATTTTGCACAAGGGTAGTCTACACTCATGATTTCTATTTTTTAATCACTGCAGTCTAGTTTCCTCCTTTATTTACTTGATTGAAACTCCTTTTCATGAATTCTCCAGTGACCACTTAATTTTTAAGGTAGAGGAAAATAAAAACATATGAACTTAATTAATGTAAGTTTTACATGGCATGGGACCCTTTCGAAACAAACAAACACATAAACTTGTATATGTCTATGCTTAGGTTTGATGAAGATATGGCTAAAATGAAGGAAGTATGAATGGAAAAAGGGGGTAATCTAGTAGTAATAAATGAGGGATTTTATCAAGGCCTGTTTGTTTAGACACAGGGACACAGTGTCTTTAGAGATGAGGATGTTTCTTTACTCCAGGTATAGGGAGGAACTCTCTACACTGAGCATCTTAAGACCTCCTTTAAGGAAAAATCAGAGAATTCTTCCTAGGTTTTTATGACCTGCTTCAGGGGAGAAGGGTAAGGCTGTCCTTCCTACTTCTACTGTTTTCTCAAATGCCTCAGTGTTATTTTGGGGAAGTGTGTGCTGAACCCCATCATTAAGTCTAGTAGACATTTTTTAGTTCTTATTTTTTTCTGGATTTCCATCTGGCCTTCATTTATTCTTTTGATCACATTCTCCTTCTATGATGATCTCTTACATTATATAATATTCTGAGATATCTCCTGATTTTTCTCTTTGTATAATGCATTATTTTGGTATTTAACAGAATTCTGGTTGAGGACACTTTGCATTTTGTACCTCTTCTTTGAGTGAGGTATATTCACTTGAATGAGGTGTTTAGGGTTTCTGTTAAAACCTATATGCAGCTTACTCCTATCCTTATATCTCTTTAGACCAGACATCTCTATATTAGATGCTTTTTGGACTTTACATGTCCTAAGCTAAACTCAAGATGATTTTGTCTGTTTCTTCCCTTGTATCCAATATGTCAGTTCTGTCTCTGCCTGAACACAAATTTGGATCCATTTCATCGTTATCTTTACCCAACTCCTGATTCCCTTTCTAGTTCTGCTGATTTGCTTATTTCTTGAACCTGTTATGTCTTTCCCTGTAATTCCCCTCGAATGAGCCATCATTATCTCTGCTATGGATTCTTAACTAGATTTTCTGCCTCTAGTTGTACCTCTCATATTCCTTCAGACATTACTTCACTATCATTTAAATCTTATTTCCCTCCCCCCATCCCCATACCAAAATTATTTTTCTGATATTACACCCTAACTATGCCATTCCCCTGTGAAAGCCTTACCTTGGATCTTCATTGTCCACTGGATAATATCCAGTTACCTTAATATATCATACAAGGATCTCTCTAGCCTCTCCTTTCAATTCTTGCTTGCGTGTCTCTTCTGTTCTACAATTGTGTTTTAGTAATACTGAATTGTTTATAATTCCCTATTTAACTTTTGCTGCTTTTCTACTGTTAGCGTTTGTTTATGTCTTCCCTCTGGTTGAAATTTTTTTTTGAAATTTTTTTCTGTCCTCTATTTGCCTGTATAATTTGCTTTCATTTAAGATTTAATTCAGATTTATGTTCCTCTTCATGTTCCTTCTAAAATATTCCTCTTGGTCCTTTATCAAGCTGTTATCTTTTCTTGTACTACTTTCTTTCTTGGTTGTTTAGTTCATGTAGTTCATGTATATACCTCAGAGTTATTTTAGGGGAAACAATGTAGTCTTATTTATCTTATATGCAGCTTCCAGTGCCTACATATAATGATTTACTAACTGCTTTTGAGTGAATATCTGAAAACATTTCATCCAATTTTTTTCTTTTTTTATATGAGAAAAATGAAGCCTTTGAAAAGTCAGTGATCTTTTTAAGGTTGCCTTACTACGTAATGGTAGTTAAGCATCAAGATTAAAACTGACATTACTTCACTATCATTTAAATCTTATTTCCCTCCCCCCATCCCCATACCATGACATTGTGTTAAGTCAACTTTCAGGTACTGTAACAAATAGAGATAACTTAAAAAGAGAAAAGATTTATCTTGACACATAGTTTTTGGATGTACCAATCCATGATTGGTTTACTCTGTTTTGCGGCCTTTGGTTAGGCAGTGCATCATGGTGGGAGCATGTGGCTGAGCAAAATTGCTTATCTCATGGCCAGGTGGCAAAAAA